TCGGTACAACAGCGTTTTCACTGTCGGCCCAAAAGCGTTTCCACTGTCGGCCCAAAAGCGTTTCCACTGTCGGTACAACAGCGTTACCACTATCTGTGGTACACTATCAAAAGCGTTGTCTGTCCAAAACCAGGGCCGGTTGCGTTTACATTGTCACTTCCTGGGATTGATCGAGCCTTGTCGGGGCTTCCTCTGGGCTACTTCCTACTTGTCTCCTTATACCGGACTGTCTGATATCCATATTTAGTTCTGGATGTCAAAAAAAAAATCAACTCCTGTCTTGCTTCTGCTTGCTCTGTTTTTCTTACTGAAAATATAAATGTATTGGGACTGTTACTGGAGAGAAAGCTAAAGCTCCACAGGTCGTCTTTTTGGAGAAAATTTGTAGAAATGATCATTCTTTCTAAATGTGATGTAAACATACTGTCCTGTGAGTGACTACAAATAAGCAAAAAAACAAATGCGACTGAATAAGAGTGTGTCCTCTCTTTCTATTGTGAAATAACGGTAAATACCACTTTATTTCTGTATGACTAATGAGCAATCTTGAGACAAATGAATTAATTATGCTAAATGTATCACTTATTATTGTAAAACTGTGTTAAACCATAGATGTTTGGGTTTTAAAGCTTTGAGTAAATGAACAAAAATGACAAAAAAAAAAAAACAGCAGCTTTTATCATGTTCGCTTTAGGATCTCAGGTTTGTATGATGTTGTATGATGGATTTGTATGTTGTTCCAGAGAAGCGTATTACAGATGTGTTTTAAAGGTGCCATATAACATCATAAATCAAATCCTACTCCATATTCCATAACAGATGGGGGCAGTATACCTCCAAAAAATGACTTGTGCTCCTACCATCGCGCATGTTATTGAAATCATTTGACATGATAGTAAAAGGTTGGAAGACCGCAGTTTCACGTGGAACATTTGGAGATTTTTAGAGATCAGAGACTCAATGAACTAAACACTAGAGTGAACTAAACTAAACACTATGAATCTCAACACTAAATGATGAAGACCGCCTCATAGATCTCAAAAACAAGCTGGTGCATTTCGACGGTATGGGAAAATAAAAGCTTGGGCAATTATTTGAAGTTTATGGTATTCGTTTTGTTCATATTACACTTTTATTGTTAGTGAATTAATTTGACAGACAGCATTCGCTGATGTTGATCAAGCTAGCGCCGTGAATTCACCGTGAGACACACGCAATTGACACTTAGCAAGCAGGTTAGTTAAGCTCTCAGATTCTGTCAATTATATTGCGCAATTCAAAGAATAAATACCGTTTTGGCGCTTGTACATGTTACACTACAGATCCCTAGCGCACGTGAACCGATCGTCTTTACTAGCTTGAAAAAGAACACGAACACTGGTGAAAGATACAGTGTGCTACAACTTACCAAAATGTATTCCTCATGCATAATGTCGACCAATCATTTTTTGAACTCTTCCCTGAACTGAAATGTAGTAATTGGCTGCATTTCCACACGACTGACATCAGGTTCAAGTACACACAAGCCGGCCGGCGCGAGCGCGACTCACTCGTCTATTGCAGTTTGGCTGGTGCTAACGTTGCCCGTCCGCATACCGCCTCCCATGGCCGGAACTGGTATTACGATACCTGCCGGGCCGGGGCTAGTAATTTAGCATGCTAATTCAGGTTAATATCTCGGCAGCACTATAACTTGTCAGTTTTTTAATGACATCTTTGCACTTATTTCTTCTCATTCTTTTGATGCGTGTAGCTCATTTTTCGTATATTGTTACCTCAATTATTACATATGCCACCTTTAAGTGAAGAATGGCGCTGGAAAAGCAGCTAATGATGTCTTTACTACCTTTCTGGGGCTTGAAAGTGATAGCTGGGTAGACTGTTAATGGAGGGACAGAAAGCTCTCAGATTTCATCAAAAGATCTTCAATTGTGTTCTGAAGATCCATTATTTACTACTTCTCCAGTTTTATCTATGTACTGATGCTTCAAACAACCTAAAAAACAAACACTTATCTGAAGAACCAATAATGACAATCTCTTAAAGGACCAAACAACAACTCAAGAGCACTATAGAGCCAAATGTTTTATATTAGGGTTTTTGCTGAAAATAACCAGCTCATGACTGGATGAAGGGGATAAATTACATGATTAATAGCCAGAAAAAGTGACTCTGAGGAAATGAATATTCCTACATGAGATCTTCCAGTATTAGTCACAAAACCAGCTCATGGATTCTTGCTCAATTTCATGATTGTAAGCACCTGCTGAAGTTCATGTTAAGTCTAATTATATTATTTTTTACTTCCGAGAAAGCAAGTGTAGTTTCCCCCCATTGATCAATTGCCGTCTACCACAAACATCCTGCCACATGCTGACTTTGGACTGATTTAAGTGTGATTCAAGGGCTTATAATCTCTTGTACAGCTAGAACTCACACACACACACACACACACACACACTCAATAAAACTCTTATCAATTTCAAGGAAAAAGTGTTTAACCCTTATGATGCCAACAATTAGTCTACATTATTCTCCAAAGACAAAGCCATACTTTCTCTGGGTCAGAGTATCTACACATTTAATCCATAATATTAAGTAAGAAAGAATAAAGCAGGAATGATCCTGTGAGGCCTATTTACAGGCATTTTTACAGTCTAGCCTGTGATGTTTTCGTTTCATTCCCATGTGTCTCCCTGACTGTAGTGTACTGATTAGCCGACATGACTGATGAGTACTGATCCAGTACAGAGCGAAAGAGCTCATTCTGATCACAAGATCAGAGATTAACCACCAGTTTGCAGTCAGCACTGACATGACAGACCTGAATTGATAAATTAGTTCTGATCAAAACAACAGAAGTGTCATCCCACAAAATATCTTAAGCACCATGAAGAACACCCGATTTTAATTAGAACCCTTCTTTACTTTGTAAACTTGAAAACTAAACTTGCGTATATGTAATGCGTTAATCTAATAAGACTGGATAAGCTTACTGCTTCTGTTGCTTTACTTCTTAACTGGGAAGAAAATTAATTATGTTTTCATGTTTCCAAGAAGGAAAAAAATAAATTAGTCTGGAATTTCCAATTTCCATTTAAAAAGTCCCCATGAAGTTGATCTATTGATTTATCGGCAAAGTAAAAGTCATTAGCAAGAAAATCATCACAATAACTGCGCTAATACATAAGGTTAGTGAACTATTCACTTATATTAAAACCACTCCACTTTTAGACATGAATGATACCTTAAGAGTACTTTATCTTCACCACTGGAAAAATGGGCTTTCAATAAAATGTGGCTGCCTATACAGTAGAAAGGAGAAAACATTTGACATCGATGCTACATGACAAGAAAAAAAAAAAGAAAAAAAAAAGGCTGTTGTCTTCACTTTTGCCAAATAGGTAGGAAAACGTCAACACCCATAATGCACTGGGCATGTTGCAGACCAAGGCCACTCACAGTCTACTACGCTTGACAAATACTGCCTTGCTTTAGTGTTAGATACTTCTAAGTAAACTTTTAGTCATAATGGTGTCGAATTGTTATTGTTCCCTGGTGCAATAATTCAAAGAGTAAACTTTTAGCAGTGAAGGATCCAGCACATTTTAAGCAGTTGACCAAAGGGATGAGAAAATCATAAAGACTAGCAACCACCAAAAATAGCATATCAACCACATAGCAACATATTAAAAAAACAATCTCAACACTGTAGCAACCTGCATTGACCACCATCATAAATGTAATAGTTCTTTAAGCAAGAGAGAACATGTTCCCCTTTAAGATGGCTACAACCAATCCAGTTAGATAGATACTAAAACTAACTTACCCAGATGGCCACCTAAGAATCTTGAGCTTGTCAGAACTACAATGGATTCTTAAATTCCGCTGTCTAATAATTTTTGTGCCCAGGCTCCAGCCGTGTGGGAAAATTCAACAGGAGCATGTGAAAAAACTGTTTTATGAATGTAGCAGGTCAAAATCTGTTACTTACGCTGGTCTGGGTGTCGCACCAAGAATCTGACCCTGTACTCAGCAATTACGGTCTAGATGCCTGAAGGACGCTCCTTCTCATTAAGAAGTGTGTGTGACATAGAGACCCTGTGGTCTGTATTTTACCTCATGTGACCTTCCTATGTGAAATCCATTTCCATAATATGACTAGCACTGAATTCCAAGCAAAAAACACATAGTGGCCCCATGGATACTAGAAATAAAACTAACTAGTGTCAGGGACAGGAGCCATTTTAATAATGACCTTTAATCTAACTGACACCACACTTATTTTTAGCGGATATAAGAAGATCAGTGACAATTAATATTTTTTTTGCCAGTTAGCAAGTAAACCTGGATCAGCATCACTTAATCAGAATGATTTGGAAAGGGGTTGAGGTAGGGCCAAGTTTAGGGGCTTGTAATGTACACCATTTTCAGTTTCAACCTATCATTTCTCTCTATGGTTAGGGTTTTATTTTAACATTGACTGTTTGATGAAAACTGTTGCTGATGTTGATCTAGCAACATCCCAGTGACAGAAGATCACACCAGGTGTCCAAGCCAAAATAACCATAACCACAAGTCTAGTCATCGCATTAACCACGTATATATAGACATGTTCCACTAACATTTGACTATCAAAAAGTGCCCAAATAGCCTAATGTTTGTATTCATTTTGAACATTGATTTATTTGATCTTTTAAAACGTTCTTTACAAGAAATGTTTAGGTCATTCGTTATATCATGCACTGACATTAAAGCATTTTAAGTGACTTAAGTGTGCATCACACTGTGACATCACGCTCTCTGGCATCTCACATTCATAATTTCCATTTCACTTCCAGCCAATAAATCATGACACCCTCATTATGTTTCTCTCTGGGGTATAGAAGCTGACTGACGCTTTCTGGCGCTTTTAGGGCCGTAACTTAGCTGTTATATTAAGGTGACAGAAACGCATTCATCATCATTTGAAAGAACAGGTGAGTAAGTTCAAACTTTACCTTCGATATGATTAACGGCTCGTCGTGTTCGAGCCCACCTTTGAGCGTGAAACCCCAAGGCGCTCCACCCTGCAACTGAGCCTCGACGAACACAAACTTTCCCTTTTGGATCACGGCACTGCTGCTCCCTGGAAAACTATTATCCATCGCTGGAATGTTGGGGAAAAGAATGGACGAGGACGTCTCTTAGTTACTCAGTCAACCAATAAACTCCGCTAGGAACACGGCCAAGGATGTCCTAGATGTTTCTTCTTCTCGGTCAAAACTTCAACGGTATGATGGGTCATTTCCTCGAATTAAGTTACTTGATTTGGGATCGCAGCGTAACATAACAATCCTGCTTCTACCTACCTTTAACGTTAACGTTAGCTACATCCCTAAGTGACCTGCTAGACATGTGAAGGAACGACACGAAAACTTTTCCTGCCTTTCAAAGAATTTACATTCGCAAATAAGCAGGCAAATTTGATTTTGTGTACCACTTTTCCAGGCAGTGGTCTCCCTTTTAAACACCGTTTGTCAGCCCTTTCTCGCTTCCGACTTCATTTTTACATCACAATAGAATTTGATTCATTTCACTGCGTCCGCAGAAAGACTGAGCGCTCGCGCGCGCCGAGATTCCCCTCAGCGAGTCCTGTCAGAAAGAAAAAAGCGCCTTTACGAGTTTCCCAAATCTTCAATTCAGTGCGAACACGCGTTTACGCTTTTAAAATACATAGTATTTAAGTTTTATTTTCTAGCTGATGCGCAGAAACTCTCCCAACCATGGATGAGGGAGTCTGTGGTCGACCCCCCCACCACCAAACTCCACAGTTCATCGGGATGGTTATGCGCATGCGCGAACTCTGCAAACTGCTCTACCACAGTGAACTACTACAACAGCTCTCGAAATCACAGACTAGCAGTGCCTCTGACCGAAACTGGCTGACATAATCTAGTCAAATCACCACCCTGTCCTCCCACATTATGCACCTAAAATATACAAACACACGTTTTCAACAAGTTTGGTCAAGTCATTCAATTCAATTCAGTAGAATCCCATTCTAATTTCTGTCAAGGTACCAAAACACAGTACGAAGGGAACATTTAAAGAACTGGATTAATACATTTGACTGAAGTCCTTGCCAGCAGTTTAGTTGCTCAATGGACTGGATATTGAGTTCTTGCCTCAAAAAATCTGGATATTTAGGTTAGATATTTATTTACTTCCAGTGGCATTAAAGATTATGTAGGAGATTTGTATAAAATACATTTCTTAAATTGTCCTTGGACTGGTGTCACTGTAATAATTGTCTCTTATATCACCTGTTTATGTGATAGCCATTTGTAAACAGCAAACTAGCAGCGGGCTGCCGTTTTTTTACCCAATCAATCACAAACGCCCTCTGCCTGTCAATCACTGACATGAGCTTTGCAGACAAGATTTTTGTGGGCGGGGTTTTGAAAAATGTGTGTGGTTGATCAAACATGGCGTCATTTTGTAGGCCATTCTCAATACGTTTTTAGGATAGCAGTAGCACTAGCAGTTTTTCTTATTAAGGCTTGTGCTTAACATCAGTCAAAGAGACTTTCATGTTTTGTTCTAAGTATGCATATGCACAGCTATTCCTAAAATGTGACCTTAAAAAAATCACATGTGAGGTATAATTTATAGGCATTGGAGGGGGAAATTTTCATCATAAATCAAACTGCTAATCTAAAAACCAAGTCCCTTTCAAGGAAAGTTTGTTCACTCAGCGGCCATATTTCCAACGCCATGCAGGACCAAGTCCTGTCTATTTGAATGGTTGTAATCGTGAACTTTCAAAAACTGCTTGCCGAACTCACGTACAATTAGCAGTAAATAAATGTTTCAAATTAGCAACAAAATCTGACATGACCTGCATGTACAATAAATGTTTTTGCGCATTGCAGTTTCTCCCATTCATAAGTAATTGGAATAACCATCTTAATATCAATAGTCTTTGCTAAAAAACAAACTGGTGTGGTGACAGATCAGGTCCTCCATCGAAACTGGGCCTATGTTAGGACCCCAAGCGATCCCATTGGCTCAAATTACTCTCTTTAGTGCCTGATTACAATTCCTACAAAATCATGTTATATGATAAATTATGTTTAAACTATTTTATAATGACCATTAATGCCCATATTAGTTCGCTTAAGTATTAGCATAGTGTGCATACAATTAGGATGTTAGCTTTTAGTTTACAGGCATCCACAATCATCTTTAATATAATTACGTGTTAAATTGAGCGTTAAACATCCAGATATTTCAGTTATAAAAATAATGTAATGTTTAATTATTCACTAAATAGACATTATTATTAATTATCAGTTTATCAAATGAAATCATTATCCTAACTGATAGTTGATGAAGACCCAATTTCGAGGTAGGGCTCGATTTATTTGACACTGGCTCAGAAATGCACATTTTCTCCTGGCTTTAGGGAACAGTTTATTTATTGCTAACTGCATTAATGATATGTCTTAAATCTCATCGCTGCTCATTAACAGTAATTTTAAAAAAAATCTTTGCACCATCAGTTGCTTTAAATAGCCAATAAAATAGTCTGACTTGTGGTTTAAAAGTTGAAGATAGCTGATACTTTGTCTTTATTAAAACTGATTCAGATTTTTAAACACTGACAGTTTTATTCAAATCGATGTTGACATTGTTCAGTGGAAACATTCAGGAGAACTGTTTAAAAGTAAAATGTGTCCTTTCTGGCTAACCCTGACCTGTTAATCATCACCTTAACCTGTTTTTACTTGTCTCTATACCAGTAGCTGCAAGGCCTGACCCCTATTGTAAATGAAATTACACTCCTGTGGGGCAAGTTTTACTCACACTAAATTTGAGCCTTAGAGTATTGAGTGAAATTTGATTATTTGCAGGTATTCAACATTAAAAGCATGATCAGTTTTGTTTTTGGGGTGTTCGACTCTCTTCATTGGCAGCATGTTCCTCAAGAAAAACATTTATTTTCTTTAAATGAAAGACCATTTAAGGACAATCTACCTGTGCTGGTCCACTTTAATTTAGAAACTATCCAAAAATGATCATCCCTTTGTCTTTCCAGCAAATGCACACACTATAAAAGGCTTGCAAAAAATGGCGAAACCAAAATGAGCTAAACTTGATCTAAATGTGTCTTTTTCAGCCTTCGTGCAATGAAAACAATATGATGTGAGAGCCTCTGGTTATTTTAAGTATATGATTGTGTGTTTTTTTTTTCACTGGAAAGAACTCAAGTTCACTTCAAAACACATAAGTGGGAAAAAAAAATCTGTCTCTGAGTAAAACATTTCCCTGTCCTGCTTTCATGATCACTGAAAGCTCCAAAGGTGCCTTTCATCATTACAATAGCACACCTGCGGCTAGTATAACAGGTGTGGCCACTGTGCTCAGCCTCAAGACACATCTGAACATGTTTACCAATGACATCATACCTAGGTCATTTCCTGATATCTACTTTATTACTGAACTATAGGGAGATTGTAAGAGGGGAAAACAAACAAAAAAACCCCCAAACTTTGTAGGCCTGCATGAAGTTCTTCAGCGCAAGCACTACATAGATGAAATGCTAATAGATTTTTGCAGTATAACTCACATAAAACATTGTCTACTCGTTGGCCAACTCTTAAAGGCATAGTTCACCCAAAAATGTCAATTCTGTTATTAATTACTAACCCTCATGTCGTTCCAAACTCGTAAGACTTTCGTTTATCTTCAGAACACAAATGAAGATAGGCTATTTTTGATGAAATCTGAGAGCTTTCTGTCCCAGCAACTTTGACACTTCAAAAAGTTCAGAGATCATACAGTAAAACTAATCAATTGAACGGTTTTGTCCAAATTCGCTGAAGTGACACGGTCACTTTATATGATGAACAGATTGAATTTGGTCTTTTATTCACATATAAACATTGATCAGCACAACCGAACCCACATGACGCACAAAACAAACTCCTTAGTAACACGGGAATGACCCTAATTGGTTCCTTCTTTTGTTTGTATGTGAATAAAAATGTAATCTTTACATCATATAAAACGACAATCTCTTCATAAAATTTGGACTAAACCGCTTAATTAATATGGATTCGTTTTACGATCTCTTTATGAACTTTTTGAAGTGTCAAAGTGGTAGTTGCGTAGCTGTCAATAGACCTTTCTCACAACTTCCATATTTGCGACCGAAAATACGCAATTGTCGTGGTAATCTTCTTCCGCTCCATTCATAACAGATAGCGCCGCAGGCAACTAGTGAGAGTTGTTGCGTACAGATCTTTTTTGTTATTCCCAAAAGCAGCCATACCTGTCGTTTTCATTCCTTCCCTCGTCAGTTCCCTGTCGATGAAGTTCGACGGAAATGGATTCAGGCAATCTGGCGGGATGTTATTGATCCTGTGATCTTCTGTACTTCTCTCATGTCACCATTCACTAAGCCGTCATTGTTTATGTTTATTTTTTATGTTTTATGATTTGTGTATTTTGAAGTAACGTTAGTTCATGCTCAACTTTATTAAGATATTTGTATCCAGCGGAATAAGCACATAAAAATATACACCACAATATAAAACAAGATAAGAACACACAACAGTGGGCTACATATAAATTTAAAATATTAATACCATTCTGAGTATTTAACAATCTGAGTGTACAAGGGATAAATTAATATTTGTATAAATTGTTCTTCATCTTTGATCGTTCTATAGCAAGAGCAGTGCAAAAAACTCATTACCCCTAGATGATAACTGTTGAATAAAACTGACAGACTTCTTTCTGGTATTCACATCAAAATGCAGTTTATTGTAAATAATACTCCCTAAATATTAATAACTTTCCACACACTCCACCTTCTTACCTTTAATGAACGTATATTGGGAAGAATGAGCTTCAGTTCTGAAATTAATATCATATCTTTGGTCTTAGATACATCAGCTGGAGACAAGCATCACCACAGCATTTTACAAAGACATCAACAACTGGACCATGACAAGTTTACATTTTTTTTGAAGTTTTGAAGACTCTCTGATCAATTTTCTCCTCACAGAGTAGGTTTTTCTGATGTGTCGACAGTTGACGGGAACTCCGTTTCCACAACGATTACGTATTTCCGGTTTTTGTGAAAAAGGTCTATGGAGGGACAGAAATCTCCAGCCCATTCTCACCCCCAAGGCGTCACCTAACTGACGCCTTGGGAAGAATTTTGACCATGCTTCAATATCTGACGCTTTAGGCGCCCTTTAGCGTCAGCGCCTAAAACATCAAATATTGAAGCATGGTCAAAGGTGACACCTTGAGGTGAGAATGCGTTGTAATTAATTAACAGAATTGTCTATTTAGGGTGAACTAACCCTTTAATAAAAATGCCATTCTGGATGGTGTTCTCTTTTGTTGTTACAATAGTTATTATTTTAAATAACACTTTAGACTATTGCCCTGATTAAAAGTAAGCCCAAACAGGTTCTCTGGTTAGTATTAAACTAATAAATAGAATAAAATATTATCTTAAAGATTAAACACAAACATTTTCCTAGACCTATACTGTAGGCCTACTGTACATGACTGCACACAACAGAAAAAAAAATATGAGTGTTAGAACATACTGAGACCTTAAGAGGGCGCTAAACACACACATAAAACTAATTCATTCCAGTTTTGAACTTTTTTGAGATTTAATAATTGCAGGTTGAAGCATCTTCCATGAGCCAGCACACCATAGTTCCAATTGTCTTATCCAAAACGTGTTCACTGAAAATCGTGAACACACTTAATTTTCAAAATCTTGACTGACCTATAAATGTCTGGGTGGTCTCTTTACACT